CATGTCTTAACATAAATATCAAAGCACTGAACACTAATTATTCACAAGAATTTCAGAGCATCAGCAATGTGATAAAAGTAGAAACAATAGAACCAAAATAGAAGTAATACCAATGATGTAATTTGAAGGTAATAATAAACTGGAGATTCTCCTAAATCTCAGAATGCCTCCTCTACCCAGAAAGACCCTTGTCACATTTATTTTCACAAAAGGTCCTTTATCATTGGAACATATATACCACTGGGCTGATGAACTAATGAGTTTATATTAGATTTTTTTTTTTTTGAGACTATCTTGCTCTATCGCCCTGGCTGGAGTACTGTGGCATCATAGCTCACTGCAATCTCAGACTCCTGGGCTCAAGTGATCCTTCTGCCTCAGCCTCCCAGAGTGCTGAGGTTACAGGTGTGATCCACCACATCTGGCCTGTATTGGAATATATATTAGTCTTTCATTTTACCTCTCATCACACTTACTATTATACTATTTCCTAACTGGTGCTGAAATGGTTCAACAATTTATCATGGTTACACACCCACATACACATACACGACTGTTAAAAGGACAAATTAAGAACAATAAAAATCAATCAAATTGGCAAAATAGAAATCCCCTCCTTGCCTCCATTCCTGAATACAGCCTGAATTCACTCATGGCAAACACTTCCTCGGGTAGTGATTGAAACCCTATTTCTGGAGGCTCCCCTCCTCCTTTGGACACCCACATGTTGGAAGCAGCCATGGTTATACAGCCTGACCCTTCCTTCTGCAGCCCTACTTCCCAGCTGTAGATGCATGACTTTTCAGCTGGAATGCTGTGAGAAGATCTTAGGCGTGCTGTAAAAAATTGTAAAGATCACTAATTAAATTATTTTCAAAAGAAGTTCAAAGCGCAGTAAGTATATTATTTTTCTAAACTTTTTTTTTGATTAGCATCATTTATGTGTGCCACAGAAGTTTAACTATAGGTTCAAGTGTGCCATGAGATAAAAAGTGGTTGAAAAACATGGCTGTAAATAGTTGGTCAGTGCCCAGCACTGACTGAAGTTGGGTTGAACAGAATTTGGGTTGGAGAGTGGGGCTGCCAGTGCGTATCCTCCAGACATGAGAAGGAGAATGTGGGACGGAGAGCAGTCCTCCTGGAGCCCCTGGTTCTACCGTAGTTTGCTTTTGAGGCCATACCCATATTTTCATCTATCAATCCATTCCTTTTTTTTTTTTTTTTTTGAGACAGAGCCTCAAGCTGTCACCCTGGGTAGAGTGCTGTGGCATCACAGCTCACAGCAACCTCCAACTCCTGGGCTCAAACAATTTTCCTGCCTCTGCCTCCCAAGTAGCTGGGACTACAGGCGCCCAATACAACACCCGGCTATTTTTTGGTTGCAGCCATCATTGTTGTTTGGCGGGCCCAGGCTGGATTCGAACCCGCCAGCTCAGGTATATGTGGCTGGCGCCTTAGCTGCTTGAGCCACAGACGCCGAGCCGCATTCTTTATTTTTTACTTCATCACGTTTGATGTTTCCTACTTCTTACCAACATAATCCTGACTAAACACTCCCTTAGCAAAGCTCTCACTACCTCTTCTCTTCTTTTCAATAATGAGCTTCAGGGTTAGAAATCCTTACGTGTGCAAGCTGCACCCTCCTTTTAAATGATGTGCCCATGGAGCTCAGGTGTGGCCTGTGAGTACAGGACGTGACTCACATCCAAATTCAGTGTCTGTAGGTGGTTTCTTAAAAACATCTTCATTATGTCCTTGTGTGAGAATGTAATTTTAATGGTTTTAAATACAAACATCTCAAGATTGCATATTAATTATAGGTAGCTTTGAATTCTAGCAATGCAACTTTGTGAATTTTTGTGAGTTTTCAGTGTTCTCTGTATGACCTTCAGGGATTATGAATTGTGTCTCATGACAAAAGCATGGAGACACACATGTCAGTAAAACACACATTGGCTCAGCTGACAGAGGGTTCACTTGCCCTAGTGGTCAGGAGGGTGATCTGCAGGAAGGTTGGAGAGCTGCTCCTGGAGTGTTCTGAAGCTCAAGGAAGTACCTCAGTGACAGACCCCCAAGCCAGCAGCTTTGGCCACAACTGAGCAGCTGGGGAAGGCTCCCCCTGAGCTCCCTGTGATGTGAGCTGCTCCAACGTACGTGTGGGAACTGCGGGTAGCCTTCCTCCAGGTGGTGGTGTTCCCTTGCTCCACAGCTTCCCTGCAATCAGAAAATTACACTTATTGCTTCTGCGAAGAAAGGTTATAGAAAGCGCATCCTCCAGATGTCTGTTAGATAAACTGCCCCGTCCCTGGAGCTGAAAAATTTGGTCTCTGTTCACCTGAAAACTACATGGGGTATGAGCAGTGGTCTGAGGAGGAGTGTTGCTTAAGGCTAACTTGGCTCTGACTTT